GGATTACAGGCTTGAGCCACCGCGCCCGGCCCAGAGTCTCAGTTTGTCACCCAGGATGGAGTGCAGTGGTATCACCATAGCTCAACCTCCTGTGCTGAAACAACCTTCCTGCCTCAGCCTCTAGAGTAGCTGGGGTTACAGGCACATCTTACCACGCCTACCTAATTTTTAAATATTTTTTATAGAGATAGGGTCACCTTGGCCTAAGTGCAGGGATTACAGGCTTGAGCCACTATGGCCAGCTGGAAATTTTTCTATTTTTATTTTACTTTAGAGACAAGGTCCTGCTCTGTTGCCCAAGCTAGAGTGAAGTGGTACGATCATAGCTCACTGTAGCCTCAAACTTTTAGGCCCAAGTGGTCCTTCTGCCTCAGCAAGTAGTTGGGATTACAGGGACCAGATGAGGAGAATTGAGGCACAAAGAGATTAAGAAATTAACATAAGAGTATATAACTGTAAGAGGTAGAATCAGGATTCAAACCCAGGCAACTAACTTTCAAGTACAGGTATTTACCACTATACTCAGATACCTCTCTGGTTCGATCAGAACTCTTCATAAATTGTGGCTGTATTGGTGAGTGGTTTGTGTGGTGGTTCTTCCTTCATTAGAGCAGAGGGATTTGTATAGATCTAGCTGTGCTCTGACCTCAGCAGTTACCCTGGAGGCCAGGAGCGTATCTTGTGCATAATAGTGGGCCCAAAGTTCAGAGAACAGGCAACATTTTTTGGAAGAAACACATTACTGGGCCTCTTGGAGGAAACTTGCCACCATGGCTTGTTTCCCTGAGAGGTTTGAAATTTTAGGCTCACCAGTTTCATTGGAAATTCACCTATTGTATCACAGACCTTTTTCTTCAGAAGCTCATTTCAGCAAGATACCTGTCTTCAACCCCCACCCTATCTTTCCTGCATCCCCAAAGGAGTCAGTAGGAGAAATGGAACTATGGGAGGAAGTGGAGAGTTGCTACATATGGAAAGGGTGGCATCAAGGATGGGCAAAGGAAGATAGGGTGACCCATGCCCTCTAGTCCCAGCTACTCGGGAGGCTGAGGCAGAAGGATCACTTGAGCTCAGGAGTCGGAGGCCTCAGTGAACTATGATCACACCACTGCACTCCAGCCTGGGTAGCAGAGTCTCTTAAAAAAGAAAAAAGATGGGCAGGGGAGAAGGAGAAGAGGCCTGTTCCCTTGGTGCCTATTCTTGACCTCAGACAGCCTTCTGAGCCAGGCTTTCTCTCAAGTAGACCCGGGCCAAGGGAACCAATTCATTACACTAAATTTAAGCTGCAAAGGCAGGTGATGAAGACATGGGGCCACCTCTCTGGGAAGGTACAGCTGTTTTACATCGAGAGCTGAATGGTTTCTTCCTGAAAAGGCCTAACTCATGGTTCTTTTCCTTTGCAACATTCTTATAGCAGCCCTTTGGGCCCCACCCCTGCCAGGCCCAGTAAGGCTAGTAGCCTAGAAGTGGATTTGGCTGGAGCTCTTGGCAGAACAGATAGCATTTGTTGAGTACATGCTGTATGCCAGGCACTGACCAAATGCTTTGTATATCTCTTCTTACTCTTCTTCCCAATAATCCTGTCAGTTGAGTTTATTTTCCTTTATTTACAAATAAAGAAGCTATGACTCAGAGGGTAATTTACCCAGCCTCACAGGGCTAGTAAGAGGCAGAACCGAAATTTGAACCCAACCAGACTATGATACCAGAGACCTGTTGTCCTTCTACTATCCAGGTTCTCACCCTTTTGTAGCTGCCAGCTGTTCTGAGTCCCAGCTCTCAGGGCCTTCATGTTATCTCTTCCAGGTCAATGGCCACAATCCAGGGTCTGATGGCCAAGCCAGGGAATCCCTCAGAGAAGACCTGCAGAAGTTCCTGGGTGGGGAAGTCCTGCTGCACCAGCTGGATGACCTCACCAAGGTGAATCCTGTGACGCTAGAGACAGGTATGGGCCTCCCATTCCTCAAGAGTACCATCTCCAGGAGGTTGGAGGTGCAATGAGAGTAGTCAGAGCAGCTTCTCCAGGTCAGAACGGAGGTAGGCAGGACTCCTGATCTGGAGCCAGGTGGGCTGTTCTAGACCTCCGCCCGAGGGAGCATGGCAGATGCACCTGGGCTCCCTGGGGCATGCTTTGCTTCAGATTTGGAGTCCATCTTAATTAGATCTTGTATCTGTTCTTCAGGAAGCTGCTGGGATTTAATGGTTATTGGCTAATTGCAGAAAGAGGGCTGTTAGGCAAATGTGTGTCTATGTGTGTGGTTTGTCTATGTTTGAGCCAGAGTTTGCTAAAGGCATCTCTGCCTCAGTCCTGAGGTGCCTGCAGGCCCGGTACATGGCAGACACATTCTACACCAATGCTGGCTGCACCCTGGTGGCTCTGAACCCCTTCAAGCCTGTTCTTCACCTCTACTCGCCCGAGCTAATGAGAGAGTACCATGCTGCACCTCAGCCCCAGGTAAGGCTCTGCTGCTTCCTGTGACCTGAGGGCATCTCTACCTCCTCTTAAACGTCCTTGCAGTTTGCCCTGTCCTTACTCATCCATTCACCAGCCATGTGGTCATTCAGAGTCCACTGGTGCCACAGCCTGCCCAATAGGAGCTGGCAGAGTTTTGAAATATAAAGAACTGACTACAGGACAGAAGGTACAAAGTGGGAAATAAATACTTGTTTGAGTTTGGAACCTAAAATAGAGACAGAGGATTTTTTTGTTTGCAGTTTTATTAATAAAAGATTTATAAAGGTATTATATGTTTGTATTTTAAAAACTACCTTTTTATTTTTATTATTTATTTATTTTTGAGATAGTCTTACCCTGTCACCCAGGCTGGAATGCAGTAGCGTGATCTTGACTCACTGCAACCTCCTCTTCCCAGGTTCAATCGATTCTCTGCCTCAGCCTCCTGCGTAGCTGGGATTACAGGTACCCACCACCATGCCCAGCTAATTTTCGAATTTTTAGTAGAGATGGGGTTTCACTATGTTGGCCAGGCTGGTCTCAAACTCCTGACCTCAGGTGATCCACCTGCTGTAGCCTCTCAAAGTGCTGGGATTACAGGCATGAGCCACCACATCCAACAAAACTACCTTTTTAGAAAATAGTGAAATTATACACGTTAAGGATTGCCCTGGAAAATTCAGCACATGTTTATCTCTACTGAGGAAAGTAACTTATTCTTTTACTAAGAAGAGAATAAATTATTTTGGGTGGGGTGATGGAGGTACAGACAGATAATGAGCTTGTTGGTATAAAAGTGCATGATATGTTCAGGGAGAGATGAGAGAAAACTTGCTGGCAGGAGGGAGGCTTTGGCCTTGGGGGCAAGAGGGAGTAGATGAGAGCAGGAAGACGAGAAAGCCAGGGCTGTTTGTGAAGAGTCTGAAGCACCATAGCAGGCAGAGAATCTGCAGAGCTTCTTCAGGTAGAGGTGAGACTGGGAACAGAACCCAGTAGGTGAATAATTACTTTGGGAGTTGGGCTCAAGAAAGTGAGATAAGAGGCGGAGAGAATAGTTGGAGGTATTGTATCCCTCCAGGTGATAGGTGGCTGGGGCAAGGGCAGGTGTAGAGTGGGATGGCTCTGACATCATATGGAACAGTTACCTTCTCCCTCAGCAAGCTGTGGGTAAGTAATCACTGCTAACTGGGCTAGCTAGGCATCGTGGTGATGGTCTGGCTCTCCAGAAGTTCATGTATGATGAGGTGTCTAGTTGGAATCCAGGGGAAGTCTGTTCTGAGAGCCCTATCTCACTGGCTGTCTGCCCTGCCGTCTCAAAGGCAAAAGCCAAGTTGTGGTCCCCTCTGTTTCCTCAGCATCCAGCTTGATTGATGCCCAGTACATTGAGGACAATTAATAGTTGTTGAAGAAAAGGAGAACAGTGGCTTTGGAATTTGAATCACATGGGTATACTTCCTTGCTGAGTGACCTTGAAAGGTTATTTAGCTCCTCTGAACCTCACATTCCTCATCTATAAAACAGGGTTATCTTTCCAATTAGTGCACAGACTTCTTAGGCAGTAGTTTGTAAGAACTTTGCAAATTGCAAAGTATAATCATATAAAGTAATAGAAGAATAAGACAAAGCAAGATAACCTGGGAGTATCAAGTATTAATGTCATAAACCAGTCAAAGCTAGCACTGGTTCTAGGCTGAGAGAAGATGAGTAGGTTAAAGTCAACATAGGGGTCCTAAAGTGAGGCTGACACGGTGGCATCATTTTCTGGAGGAAGCATCCCGACACTGCTATTGGCAGCCTCCCCAGCTCAGTCATCATTGGCTCAACCACTTCTTGAAAAACAGGCGTTCCCTCACATGACCTTTCACTCTTTGATGTTTCAGAAACTGAAGCCCCATGTGTTCACTGTGGGTGAACAGACCTACAGGAATGTCAAGAGCCTGATTGAGCCAGTCAACCAGTCTATTGTTGTCAGTGGAGAGAGTGGTGCTGGAAAGGTAGGAGGACGTCTTTCCCATCCTGTCAACTCATGACTGCTTGGGTGGGCAGGGAGGCAGGGGTCATTTCTTGTCCTTCCCTGTGGAGTTGTTTGCTGCCTAGTCATTCCCAGATAGGTTGGTCGAAGCTGGGGTTGGTGCCCAGTGGTGGGCTGGCACTGGGCCGGAAGTCAAGAGACAGGATTCCAGTCCAGGCTCTACTGCTAGCTCTGCCATCACCCTGGGTGAGATAGGAATGAAGCTTCCTTTCTGAGCCTTACTTTCTCATCAAAAGTCTCTTCCAGCTCTGACACCACTGGAAACAAAAGTAAGCTGCTGGGGATTCCAGCATAGTGGTTAAGAGCACATCAGAAAGGTACTTAGCTTCTACAAAGCTCTCAGTTCTTCCACTTGTAAAATGGAAGGGAGGTGAGGACCAACACCTGACTCATAGGATTCTGTGAGAGTTAAATGAGTCACTGCACATACGGCTCTTGGTGGCATGCTTGGCATGTGGCAGTGCTCCTCGAAAGTAGCTGGGGTTTTGGTGGGAAAGGGTTTACTGGAGTGATCACCTGAACCCTCTGGGTTGCGCATGGTGGCAAGGGTAGTGCATTGGGCCAGGTGGTGGGGAGGACAGAAGCTCCTGGTGTGGCCGCATGGCCTCCTGGGTAACAGAACAACAATAGGTGAGATAAGATCTTGCACACAGATGAGTGAGGAGTTGCACAGCTGGTCAGAGGGGACTATTGGCCAAGGCCTTGCCTCACCCAGCTGCCTTCTCCTTTCCACAACACTTTTACCTTCATGAGGAACTCTTTGGACCATAAACTTGTCCTGTCTTCACTCACATATAAGTATTGCTGAACACTGAGAACTTGCCAGGTTCTAGGCTTCTGGCTGGGCACTGAGAGGTGGGCACTGTTCCTCCTGGAGGAACAGATACGAAAAATACAACATGTTGCTTTCAGGGGACTCTTAGTCCACTGAGAAAGACAAGGAAACAAAGACAGTAAGTTGCAGGGATGAGGGCTTGGACTTGGGTTAGGAGGGGATCTCTAGGAGCTATACCAAGGTGGCTAGTGAGGTGGCTGATGCCCAGCTTCTCAACAAGGCCTTGTCCCCTAGAATTGCTCTGGGGAACTGAAGCTGAACCTGGCCCAAGACTCATCCAACCAGAGCTTGATAACCCTTTATTGAGCAGCCATTGTAGCCCTGGGCTAGGCCTGGTGTATTTTCGAAAATTTATTTTTAATAGTAATGTAGTTACATAGTTAAAAAAAATCAAGCAAGGCCGGGCGCGGTGGCTCACGCCTGTAATCCCAGCACTTTGGGAGGCCGAGGCAGGTGGATCACGAGGTCAAGAGATCGAGACCATCCTGGTCAACATGGTGAAACCCCGTCTCTACTAAAATACAAAAATTAGCTGGGCATGGTGGCGCATGCCTGTAATCCCAGCTACTCAGGAGGCTGAGGCAGGAGAATTGCCTGAACCCAGGAGGTGGAGGTTGCGGTGAGCCGAGATCGCGCCATTGCACTCCAGCCTGGGTAACAAGAGTGAAACTCCGTCTCACCAAAAAAAAAAAAAAAATCAAGCAATACTACAAGTCTTATAAAGAAAAACAGCAAACCTGCTCCATATCTCTCAACCTTGTTCCGTATCTCCAGATGCAGTTACTTGGACATCTTTCATCAGTTTATTTGGGTGGTTACATCCATATTTTTAAAGTACTACTTATATTGTTACTGACTTTTTAGTTTTGGACCTTATCTGTTCACCTCCTACTTTGATGAGCATTTAACCCTTATTTCCCTGCCCCCAAATACATATTCTACATATAATTATTTCATAATTTCTAATTAAGTTAATAAGTAGTATTTACATGGTTATGGTCATGTTTATATTCCTAGCAGAGCCATATACTATATATTCTTGTATAATTTTTATATTCCCTCTATTTTCTCTGTTTAGTTTAATAATGGTATACAGAAACTAAACCAGGGAAAAAGTGGGACAAGTGAAATAAAGAATAAATAATTGCCCATTTTTTCACTTGTTTAGTTTTTATATAACATTATTAACTTGTTACCAGACTTGTCACCAAATCTGGTAAACACCTGTCAAACTGGGAAGCAAATCAGGTTCTTATATTGAAGATGCCCTTCCTAGAACTCTCAGATCAGTTAGATCTCTTTCTCCTGTCTGAATTGGTGGCTGTGGAGGGCTGCTGCCACACAGCAGTTGCATAGAAGCTTCTCTGCCTCACTCTGCAAATCCCCAGATTCCCATCTGTCCTAGGATAAGTCCCCCATGGTGGGAGTCCGTGACTTTATTTTGTTTTTTTGTTTGTTTGTTTGAGACGCAGTCTCACACTGTTGCCCAGGCTGGAGTGCAATGGCACGATCTCAGTTCACTGCAACCTCCGTCTCCCCGGTTCGAGCAATTCTCTAGCCTCAGCTTCCCAAGTAGCTGGGATTACAGGCGCTTGCCAACATGCCCAGCTAATTTTTTGTATTTTTGATAGAGATGGGGTTTCACCATGTTGGCCAGGCTGGTCTCGAACTCCTGACATCGGGATCCACCCTCCTTGACCTCCCAAAGTGCTAGGATTACAGGTGTCATGTTTTCTGGGTTTTTGTGTTTGTTTGTTTTTTGAGACACAGTCTTGCTCTGTCAGCAAGGCTGGAGTGCAGTGGCATGATCTCAGCTCAGTGCAACCTCTGCCTCCCAGGTTCAAATGATTCTCATGCCTCAGCCTCCCGAATAGCTGGGATTACAGACACACCACCACCACACCCAGCTAATTTTTGTGTTTTTAGTAGAACGGGGTTTCACCATGTTGGCCAGGCTGGTTTTGAACTCCTGGCCTCAACTGATCCTCCCACCTTGGCCACCCAAAGTGCTGGGTTTACGGTCGTGAGCCACCAAGCCTAGCCTCCATGGCTTTCTCTTTCTTCATTTACTGCCTTGTTTTTATGAACCATATTCTTTAGCAGTTTCCTCAACAAGGGACATGGAAGACAAATTGTTGCACATCTGAAAATGTCTATTCTGTCTCAAATTTGATTAATATTTTGGCTATTTTATAATTCCAGCTTAGAAATCATTTTCTTTCTGAATATCGAGGTTTTTTCTTTTTTTCTTTCTTTTTTTTTTTTTTTTAATTAAACAGTTAAACTCTGTTGCCAGGCTGGAGTGCAGTGGCACAATCTCTGCTCATTGCTACCTCCACCTCCCAGAGTCAAGCAATTCTCCTGCCTTGGTCTCCCGAGTAGCTGCGACTACAGGCTCCTGCCACCACGCCCCGCTAATTTTTGTATTTTCGGTAGAGACAGGGTTTTACCACGTTGGCCAGGATGGTCTCGTTCTCTTGACCTCGTGATCCACCCACCTCAGCCTCTCAAAATGCCAGGATTACAGGCGTGAGCCACCATGCCCAGCCAAGGTTTTATTTTCATATATTGCTATTGAAGGTCCCAGTCCATGATGGTGATTTTTTTTTTTTTTTTAAATGAATGAGAGGTTCCTATGTTTCCCAGCCTGGCCTCAAACACGTAGCCTTGCCTCAAGCGCCAGGACAACTGGCCTGAGACACTGCAGCTTGCTTTTTCTTTTTCTTTTTTTTTTTCTTTTTTTTTTTT